TGTGTAAAAACAAGAGGAGTTGGCTAAAAAGAGAGTGGAAAAAGATGGAGAGGACCAATAAGCTTTTAGCGCTTGCTAAAAAACTTAAAATGAAGAGAAAATAAAGTATTCTACCCCATGAAACTGTATATTGTTGTATATACTGTAAATAGACATCCACTTTATATAATAAAATACATTCATAACCCATATATAGTAAACCATGTGGGACTTCACTATCACTGTATGAGGTAAGAATCAACAGCTTTTTATCACATTTACATAACACTTTATGAATACAAGTCATGAACAAATCTTAAATATGGCAGGGAATGTGTTTCCTTTTTTAATTTTGATTTTGAGCAGCAAATTTGGAGTTACATATTGGTGCTCACCAGGAATGCAGAAGCAAAATTGCACAAATTTTCACTTGAAAGAATAGTGGCAATCTTGGGATTTTTTTCTGTTCAAGTTTCAAATAGTGTGTAAATTCAATACACTTCATCTTCAGCATGTTTAGTGCCACTTTTGTAAGTAACCACGCCCCCGTCCACGCCACGCCCCATCCAGGCCACGCCCCGTCCAGGCCACGCCCCTTGCCGTTTTTTTTTTCATCACTCGCCATTGCCATCACTGGGCCAAGTATATAGAACACACAAGCAATTTTTCTGTGGTAGTATTGCAATAACTAGCAACTACGATATACAAGAGGAATACATGAGGAACATGGCCCAAAGTGATGAATTGCTAAGTCTGAGTGAATGCCTTGGGACTGCCACGAAACAAATTAAGACGAGCCATAAATTGTGAAGTGGCTGAAGTTGAGAAATCCTACCAGTGAATGGAAAAAGCTTGCCTCAAAAGAAAACAAATGCAGTCATTTCTGCAGCACGTCAACAGAGGTTAATTGTTGCTACTGTACGACAGCAGAGAGGATTGCAGGTGAAGACTGTGCAAAGATGTTTTTGAAAGAGTCCAACATGTGCATGAAAGCAGCGTGTTGGATGTAGACATAGAATGCCATCTCCAAAAAGCTGACATACATTACAATCACTGGGATATGCTGGACCTCACCTGCAATGTCAATGAGGACAGGCACAAACAAAAATTGATGGATGGATATTTCTTCTTTAAATTAATTTGATTGCTAAATTACGTAACCTTTATTAATCCCATAAAATCATTTCAGCAGCAATAGTTGATGGAGGAAATATTTTTTTAAAATAGTTAACATGCAAGGGGAACAGAAAATGTACGACAAATATACATAACAATAATGATGATGATGATGATGATGATGACGATGATGACGATGATGACCGTGTTCTCCCTCCAGGCGAGAGTCGATGACAACAACACTGTTCATTCAATTAGCATCACTTTGGTAAATGTCAGCAGAGATTACAACTACTTCCTTCTGAACTGCAGAGCCACCAATTTGGTAGGCAGGACCAACGCTTCCATTCAGCTTAATGTTCACTGTAAGTAATCACACACACACACACACACACACACACACACACACACACACACACACACACGCACACATGCGCACACACTTCAAAGCAGATAGACAGATGCAAATATAATTTGTACTTGTGTGTTACTGGAATGCATGTTACTGTATATTGTGACTCATCTCTTTATTTGAAAGGTTGAAATTTGCAGTGGTATTAACCTGCACTGAATTATACATTTACATGTATGTATGCGTTTGTTATGTAAAGTTTTAATGTTCTGCCCCTTTTGTCGACAAAATATTATGAATATGTCAATATGAGTCAGGTGTTAGATTTATAACTTCATCACAGAGTATGTTCATGCTCACCTGGTGTTTCTTTCCGTAAATCGCAAACATTAAGATAAACCATACCTTGCACTGATACAGTACAGTGGGGTGCCACCCCACCAACATCAGGGCTCAACAGCACACCGAATATACTTGCAAATGTGGCCAACTTTTCAGTGTGTGATGATAAAGATTTCATCCGGCTTCAAACATGGAAATGGATGTAATGTATGTGTTGTTGGCTGATCCCTTGGATCACTCGTGCCATATAACAGGCAGATCCCTGTGACTGAATACTTGTATTATCTTTAATAACATAGTCAACTTTTGTGCTTCAAACAGATAGGGACATAACTGGAAATGATATTAGACATTGACACCTTTTGAGAGACATGAGGTGCACTTTTTTTTGTCTTAGAAAATTACATAAAATAACTGACCTGATTTGGCAGCTGCTGCTTGTCTTGATTTTAGCAGAGAGATGTTTTTCAAATACATTGTGTCAGTCTTTACATCATACGCAACTATGGTATGCCAAATGAGATGACAATACATCAGAAAATATGGTTGTGCTGTACCTCCCCAAAAAAGGTGTGACCGAATCCTGCAATCACCTGAAAAAAATGGGCGTAGAAAAAAATGTGTGTTTCCGGTAACCGACCGACCGAGAATTTCTACGTCGAAAAAACACTTTACGGTCGGCATTTTTTTCAAACAACCCTCTACATCACCTATGTCAAAGTGCCGGCCCGCGAGAATGTTTTCAGTGGCCCCTGGGATGATATTGATTTATTATTAGAACCGGCCCGCGGACCGCAGCAAGCCGAGAGCCCGCAGATCTTTCATACGTAACAATACTACATTTCCCACAATGCAACGGTGACGCGCCAAGCAGTCGGCCGCTTTATTTAAATATTTATTAGTCTAGCAGTCGTACCCATAACAGTGACATTAGCTTTCAGATACCCATCTAAAATGGCAAAACGGAAGGTGGACACTGAGAACCGGGGGTTTCAAACAAGGTGGGAGTCGAAGTACATGTTCATGGACGTAGCTGGAAAACCTGTGTGTCTTCTGTGCGGAGAAAGTGTGGCGCGATAGAAATAGTGTAATCTGAGACGACATCATGAAACGAAACACGCGAACAAAAACAAGAACATGGACATGGAGGGCGAAGGGGGATTTCATTAAAAACGGTATACCGGTACTTAAAGTTTGTGACGAAGTTTACCCCGAAAAAAAGCAACTCTTTTTAAACGTGAGCATTAGCAGAAACACAATTGCAGTGTTTCTGCAAAGATACGGCAGTGCGTGCTG